AACAGTGTTTTTGTGCCAGGCGTTCCAGTTGGGCACCTGCAGGAACGCTCTGCCCGGTTCGGTCGCGCGCGCGCCGCGGCCACGCGTGCACCAACGAGGCAGCGACCGCGAGCTGGGCATTGCTCTGCACCTTTGAGTGACGACACTCCATGGCAGGTAGGAGCCGCCATGCGTTTGGTGCTTGTCAGGCGCATCGTAAAGCGGCCAGCCAGGGGCGCAAGCCTGTCCTGGGATGTCACGTACGAGCCAGTAGGTGGAATGGTAAGGGCGTACCATGGGATCAAGCCGGTGCTGCTCCATGATTTTATCAACACCGACCTCGTAGATGCTGCGATCGTGCAAGCTAAGGGTTTCGGTGACGAGTTCGGCACCATCGCCGTCGTAGATGGTCTGCGTCACCGCACTGGCTAACGCGAGTCTTTTCCAGAGCGGTGTCAGGGGTTGGCGCGCTAGTTCCCTGGTGGGTCCCTGCGGCACGCTGGTTTTGCGTCCTGCACGGCTGCTGGTTGGCCTCCTCGGCAGCCCTGGCGGGCTGTGAGTGGTGCGCTGGCGCTCGCGCACGGCGCTGGATACACGTTGCGCTCCCTGGCGCCTTGGTGACGCTGCCCCCCCTTGGGGGCCAGTCTTGCGAATGTTGGCCTGCGCCTTCTGGGCCAGACCCGTGTAGATGACGCCGATGGCCTGCCCCACCGTCAGTCAGCTCGGGGCCGCGTCCGAGGGCGTCCGCGAGGGCTCGCGCGCCGGTGAGCTCGGGCCCCTCCTGTTCGGAGTGGCTCCGAAGGCCTGGGCTTCTATTCGACCCGCTGGCGGCGTGGTCTCGCTCGGTTCAGACCAGGAGGAGGAGGAGGAGGAGGAGGAGGAGGAGGAGGAGGAGGAGGAGAAGGAGGAGGAGGAGGAGGGGGTTGTTCTTTTCCTGGAGGCATGAGGCATCAGTTGTTGCTCCCGGGCCCCACCATCATCCAGTGCTGGCCGCTCGCGGGCAGCGTCGCGCCTCACCGCGTGGTCACTCTGGGTCGACGGGCGTCTTGCCCCTGGCCGCGCCGGCATCGATGACCTCGGCAGCTCCGAGGGCGTCAGCGTCGGCGACCCCGGCGGTGAGCATGATTTGGGCTTGATCCCTTGTGCCTCGCCCGTCTTTAAGCCCTCTGACCTTCGACGGGTCCTCTGTTGTGCAGGCATCATCCCATCGGACAAGGAGCTGAAGGACTTCCGGGTGGAACAGTTTGGCTGGGCGGTTGCCTGGCCTGTGGCGTTGGACCGTGGCCTCGGAGCAGAGGAGCATGGCGATGGGGCCGGCGGCCCTGGGCCCACTTCCTTGTTTTGCCCTGTTGACGGCCGTGGCGCAGTAGTTGGCGGCGTGGGTGCGCGTTGGCGTAGACGCGGTCTGGGGCCCTGGCGCTTGATGCCTTTCTGCGCGGCCCTGGCAGTAGGGTGCAGCCCTGATCGCGTATGCGGTCTAAGTTTTCCACGCGCGGCGCATGGAAGAATTAGCCGTGCTCGTAGACGTGCGCAGATGTTTCTGCGAGGTCCCAGGTAGCTCAGGGGAAGGTCGCGGTCCCTGACGTGGCGGCACCTTCCCTGATCCATGCGCCCCCGTTGACGTGCAGCTGAGCTGAAGTTTCGAAGAGGTCGATGATGTGGTTGGTGGCGTCGAAATGATGATTTCCCCAGGTGGGCTTCGGAGGAGAGATTCGAGTGCCATTCACCTTGGGATCTGGCCCACCCACGTTCAGTGATCACGTCGAGGAGGTGCCCTGGTGCCTGTGGGGCGCGGTGATCTCCTTTGGGCGCATGAGGTACCTGTCCGTAATCTGGCAACAACACGGCTGGGACTGAGGGAAGCCCAGCCGGGTCCAGCACAGGATGCTTAGCCGCTCGCGGGGCTGGGGGCTGTGGTTCCATTTCGGCGACGGGCGCCGCGTCGCATCCCGCTGCCCGCCCGACTGGGCAGGTGCCCCGTCGGCCTTGTCGTGGGCTGCGGCTGCGGCTGCGTCCGCTTCGGGCTGAGGCGCTTCTCCAGGGCGGCTCCCTCATCGCGCGGGCGGTGTTCATGGTGGCGGTGGAGAGAGCAATTTTGGCTGGTCCTCTTGCTGCCAGCGGCGTTTGGAGCCTCGTGGTCGGGGCACGCGCTCTGGTGAGAGCGTTTGCCCAGGGTCCTTCGCCGCAGCATCTACGCACCCAGGCACCAACTGGTCCTTGGCATCGCTTGGACGTGTACTTTTTTTGTCTCGGCGAGAAAGCACGAGGACCATCCTGGACCATCGAGGAAAAACAATCACGCACGAAACGGACAAATGCACTGGAAATGGACGTCCGAGCGACGGCATGGGCCCGTGCCCTAGGCACACTCTCTCTTTCGGGCACAGGTGGTGAAGGAGATGCTGCGCATTGCACACAGCCCCGCGCAGACGAGCGTGGCTCTACAGAGCGGCGTTACGTTTGCGCAGAGTTGGGCCCATGATTTCGCGGCCCGCTCCTGGGCGACAGCGAACAGGTGAACGACGGTGTTCACAGTCGAACTGGTATCAGCCCTCAACTTGGTGATCGCGCTGGTTTGGCCGATGCGGCGTCGGGTCAATCTGGCCCTCGCGGGGCGCCTTGGTAGATTACGTGTTCGTGGTGAAAACCCCTGGTAAGCCAGGTAGTGGACTTGTGGGCTCCGCGTGCCGCTCTCTTGTCCTGCCGCTAGAGCAGCGGTGACCACTAGACAGAGCCAGATGGCGGGCTGGCTGCTGCTAGCCCGCGCAGCCGAGGCGACTCCTGGCGGCGACCACATGTGGCCTGGTGGTCAGAAGGGGTCGCGGTGGGCCTGTCGGCCGTTGACCGCACCGCGTGGTGCCACCATTTCCCTCGCCCAGTAAAGAAAGCAGAGGAAGCTCCTGATGGTGCTGGTCGTAGTGCAAACACCGCACAGGAAGTCCATGAGCGTAGCGACGGTCGCGCTGAACAGTGCATTGGTGTCCGCGTCTGGTCTGTCGTACTCGGCTGTCTGCCGTGGGCCCGTGTCAGGGGGCGCGGTTTGCGCCGGCGCGCCATGGTCAACGTCGAGGGGACCTCTCTCGCAGTTATTGCTATGGCGACAGCCAGTATGACCCACGTGAGGGTCGAGGCCTGTCCGTGCCTCGTCGTGCCCCCGGTGTGGTTGCGGTCGTACCCTAGCGGCTTAGCAGGCCATGGAGGCACCTCCGGTGAGTCGTTTTCGGACGTGTCTCCATGAGTGGGTCACTGCCCAATGAGGTTTCCACTGGTGGGGTGCGTGGTACTGAGCTGTCAGTTGCCATCCTCTCACTTGGTGGTGGAGGCGGAATGATGACGTCCGATGGCATCCTGGGTGGAGGTGGCGGTGGCGCAGCTGGGTGCGGTGGAGGCGGGATCCCAGGAGCCGACTGCTGGTACCACAAATTACGTACCTGCTGCTGAATTCGTTGGTGGGTTTGCGCTTGTTTTGCTCCGTGGAAGTGGCGAAAGGTTTTGACGAGGTAGACACTGCGATTCGCGAAAGAGAGCCTGCTGAAGGTTCTACGTTCGTAAGCTCGGAGGGTTTGAGTGTATTGCCACATGATGAGGCAGAGGGCGTAAGCATCCCGTTGGATTAGATTCCCGCGGTGCGGTGTCGATGCATGTGAGTCGTGACAGCTGTGCGCAGCTGCGGTGTTATATTTCCTCCGTCGCACGGTCGATGCATTAGTACATCCAGGTTTGATGGGCGGTCTGCTCATTTTTCCACGGGGACCTAAGGGTAGCCGTGTGCTGAAGGCGAGGGAGGATCTCTTGGCGCTGACGTTGCGCCTCCCGCTGCCTCACGCAGTCGCGGATTGTGGTCGTTCCCTTTACAAGGCGTGTCTGGATGTACCCTTCATCGTCGCCGGGATCCTGAATGGGATCGACGGGCGTGCCGTGATCGGTGTCGAGATTTTGGATGAGGTCGCCGCTTACCTGGTGGTAAACGACGGAGTGCAGGCTGGACCGATGTTCATCTACTCGGGTGACGCAGCGGCGTTGGTCCATGCGTTCGGCGAGCCAGGATGGTCCGAACCAGCATTCCTGGTGCGGTCGGCTTGCATGACGGCACGTCAGGCGTCGATGATGGTCATGGTGCGTCGTTCGGCAGGGCTACCGTGGTAAGCCTGGAGAGCGTTGCCTTGGCAAGCACTCAGAATGTCGTCGTTGGCGTTGGCTCTCCGTCGCCAACGGAACCGGTGGATGGCCCATGCCATAGAGCGTGTGCTCTAGTAGAGCAGAGCATGGTTCAGCTGAGTGAGATGCCCTAGTGGTTGTCACCGCTTTCTGCTGTACCAGCAGTCTGGTGACCCCTTGGGGGGTGTTCAGTGTCCGTGTTAATCGTCGGGTCAGTCGCCTTGGACGACGCAGGACATGCAGCCGGGTGCTGCTTGTCTCCTTCAGTGTTGAAATAAGCCACGTTGCTACTCGTGGTCAGTCCGAAGACGTGCTAGGTAGGAACGGTATCAGGCGACGGGGCTGGTGCACCTAGCCCTTGGCAGGGAGCGGGGGGAGGAGGGAGAGGAGGGGGAGAAAGGAGAGGAGGAGGATGCAGGGAGAGGAGGGGGAGGAGGGGGAGGAGGGGGAGAAGGGAGAGGAGGGGGATGCAGAGAGAAGAGGGGGAGGAGGGAGAGGAGGGATGTGCAGGGAGAGGAGGGGGAGGGGGGAGAGGAGGGAGAGGATGCAGAGACGGGGGGGAGCGGGAGAAGGAGGGAGAGGAGGGGGAGACAAGCTAGGCGCTCGCGCCGTATCTGGCATCCTACCCCTTCCACCCATCCCTTCCCATCACGCTGATTTGTCTTTATCCGCTGACGGGTGTCATGCCTCCCGAGGCGCAGAAACGGCCCTGGAGGCCTCCAGAGCCCGCCCCCACTAAGAACTGTCAAACCAATTACCCCCGATCCTCGATCGATGCTCCTCGATCTTCCTCGTTCCCAGATCCTCCTCGACCCTCCTCGGCCCTCGATGCTTCGATGCTCCTCGACCCGTGATCCCCGCAGGAGGAGATCCGGACCTCGGCCAGGAGGGCGATGGGCCGACCAGAGGGGCGCCCCTCGGCGGGTCCACGGGGCGACCGCGGCGCTGGGCGGGACCCCGACACGACCGCGGACCTGTCCAGGAGCAGTCCAGCCAGACGGCGGTGACGGCGACGGCGAAGACGCAAGGGCTTTGAGGCTTTCGGCGGTTCGTGGTGTTTGGGGGCGCCCTCATGGCCTGGGCCGGATTCGCCCAGAGATGCGGATCGAAGCTCACACTTGGACAGGTCCATGGGTCCATGTGTGAGGGGAGGCGACGGCGTCGACGTCTTCGGTTCGAATGTTTGAAAGAGCGCCCTCTGAGCACACTGGATAAAGGCAGGACCGGGAGGCTGCGAACCCTTCCCTTTCTAGCGCTAGCAGTTGACGACGACGACGACGACGACGACGACGACGACGACGACGACGACGACGACAACGTCGACGAGGGCCACGACGACGACATGTCCCGCCCGCCCGCCCAGGCGCTGGCAAACAATGACGACGACGACGACGTGTTCCGCCCGCCCGTCCGATCGAACCGCCTTCGACGGCGTGTCCCGCCCGCCTGTTGGGGCTGATCGACTCCCCGCCGCCGACGAAGACGACGACGACGACGACGACGAGGACGAGGACGAGGACGAAGGCGGCGGCGGCGGCGGCTGCGGCGACGACGACGAGGAGGAGTGCGATGGCGACGGCGACGATGACGGTGAACGACGACCTGTCTCGCCTGACCGACGGACTCGCTGACAACGACGACGACGACGACGACGACGACGACGGCGACGACGGCGACGGCGGCGGTAACGGCAACGGCAACGGCAACGACGACGGCAACGGCAGCGGCGACGGCAGCGGCGACGGCGATGGCGACGGCGGCAGCGACGGCGATGGCGGCAGCGATGGCGGTGGCGACGGTGACTGCGATGTGGTTGTCGTCGTCATTGTCATCGTCGTCGTTTGCTTGCGGCGGGGCGGGCGGGCGGAACACGTCGTCGTCGTCGTCTTGGTCCTCGTCGTCGTCCTCGTCCTCCTCGTCATCGTTGTCGCCGTCGTTCGCCGGAGCCAAGGCGGGGATGTTCTCGCTGGGGAGGGGGGGGGGAGTGGTGGTCCTGGTTCCGGAGAGGTGGGGGGAGGATTTTAGAACGGCGGGAGGAGATTGTGCACCAGTATGTCGTGCACAGAGGAAGATCTCTCGAGTTTTTGGCGTTTCTGGAGGCGCTCGTCGCCAGGATGAACCAACCCTACAAGGGAACTGCGGACCAGTTTCGAACAGATTTTTGTCGGAAGAGGGCGACGGCGATTCGACGACGACGACGACGACGACGACGACGACATCGACATCGATGTCGACGACGACGACGACGACCCAGACCTCCAAAGTATTGTCAAAAAGAAGGTGGGCGTTTCTTTCTGAATGTTCGACGTCTGGATGCTGCTTCGAGTCTCCAGGCCATCAAACATTCGGCGGGACGAAAACCCAGACCGTCGGAATTTGTCGAGAGGTCCAGGGGCCAGTCGCACCGCTGGCTGTTTTATTGGGTGGCCCTACAGCTGTTTGTTCATGCCTCCAGACTCCGGAAATGACCAGACACCGTCGGCGCGATCTCCCGGAGTCGCCAGAGGCATGGGGCTTGGAGAGGGCCCAGGACGAGCAGCCCCGCGCGCCAACGCAGCCCCCTTCCACAGCCCGGCCCCCCGCGCGCACCCGCCGCCACGGAGCCGGCGCACCTGGGGGCGCTAACGCCACAAACTTCGCACAGATCTTGGCCGGGCCAGTCTTGGACCCAGGATCGGCGCGGGTGTCGTCCCGGCCAGGCCAGAGGGCGCGCAGACCGATCCGCAGGTCTCTGCACTGTGCGCAGGCAGCCACCATCGGGGCCGGCAAAGAGGGGGTGATGGCTAGGAGGTGGTGGATATCATGGCGTGGGCCATGATATTTCTTGAGATTTCATGGCGGCTCTTCTTCTTTCGTCATGTGCCTGGCCTCCCCCTGGGGCCGCGCAGGTGCCGCCGGCCATGATTTGCGACCCCCCCTCTTGGACGTCTCCCTCTTGGCCGACCCTGACACCAGAGGCTCGGGCCGGACGAAAGGGGGGGATAGGGAAAGGGGGGGGTTCGAAATCTGCTGCATGCAGTTGGTTTCGGCCCCACCGAGGGGCCCATTCCTCGATACATGGGCGCCGGGAGGCGCCGGGAAAATCAGCTACGTGAGCTGATGCTCAAACCACCCCTTTGCTATCCCCCCCTTTCGCCCGGCCCGAGAGGCAGTCCCAGCTCGCCCCAGCATGCCCCCAGGACGTATCCCAAGGCGGTCTCAGCACAGCGCCGCCTCCGCGCGGCGCCCCCCAGCGCGCTCCGCACCCCGAGCTCGGAAAAACCGCCGTGGAGACTGGCTCTCGGGGGGGCTGTCTGTGCGCAGCGCCCGGCCTGGCCAACGCCGACCTTGGGCCCAGGACTGCCCCAAAAGAGCTGGCTGGAACTCCGAGAGGGACCCGGCCGTGGCGACGAGAGGCCTCACAGAGGCAAGGAGCCCCCAACTCCCAACGGCCAAGAAGTTCGGAGCCCGGGCGTGGGATTGGCCCCCCCCCCCAAGGCGCAGCCGCCCGCCCGCTGGCAGGCGCCGGCCGCCAGGCCGCCGAGCGCCGCTGGCAGGGCCGCCGCCCGCGGCGCGACCGCGCAGCCGCGCAGGCCATCGCCGCCAGCGCGCGGGCCGTCGCCGTTGCGGGCTGCGCGGAGCACCGCAGCCGCGGCCGCGTCGGCGCAGGGCTCCGCCGCGGCGTCGCCAGCGGTGTCTTCGGTGCGCCACGACGCGGAGGCGCTCGGGACGACGGCGACGGCGGCGGCGGCGGCGACGGCGACGGCGACGACGACGACAACGACGCCCAACACCCGCTGTTTTCCCATGGCCTGCTCCGGAGCCCCCTGCCTTCTCAGAAAAAGCTCATCCCCGTCTGACCGCCGCCAGCGTCGGCGCGCCGCCCTCGGCGGCGTCGGCGGCGGCCTCGCCTGCGTCGTCGTCGGGCTCCGCGCCGTCGGCGGCGGCGCCGGCGCCGTCGGCATCAGCGGCGGGCCCCGGCACGCCCGCCGCCTCGAGGCCTGGAACGACACCTCCGGCCTGGCCGCCCTGGGCGCCGGGCTCCAGGGCCACGGCCGCGGCGGCGGCCGCGCCTCGTCGCGTGCCGCGTCCGGCGCGGGCACGCCCGCGCTGGAGGACAGCCTGTGCGGAGAGGCCGCGGGCGGCGGCGGCGGCAAGCGAGCGGCGGCGCCGCTGCGCCCCGCGGCGTCGCCGCCGTGGCGGCGTTGAGTCGGGCATGCCCCTTCTACAGGAGGAGTGTTCAAAGATAGTCGAACAAGCATATTCGGAGGTGGATCGACCTCCTACCCTGGCACGTCGATTAAGGAATTGGCCGTTTTCGGTTCGCGAGAGGGCGTCGCGGCCGCCATTTTTGCGGGTCCAGGTCCGTCGGTTTCGGTCCCCGGCCGTTTTCACTGAGGGGAGGTTTACTAAAGGGAGGTTTGTCCACCGCCGATATATGGGGACGATGTTCCTATTCTATTTGGGTATTTGGGTGCATGTTTTGACTATCTTCTATTTCTCTTTTAGAACCCGCCTGTAGGAGGATCTGCCCTACCTAATGACAGCGGCGGCGAACGTCGACGAAGCAGCCGTCGACGGCGACGGCGAACGAAGAGCTGCGCACGATCGAAGAACCGCGACGGCGGGGGGCGACGAAGGGAATAGACGACGGCGAAGGTTGACGAATTACGACCGCCGACGACGAACCGCGAGGACGACGAGATGCGGACAAGATTTGGCGAACGACGAAGGCGACCTACGGCGACGGCGAATGAGCAGAGCGAAGGAGGAGGAAGAGGAGGAGGAGGAGGAGGAGGAGGAGGAGGAGGAGGAGGAGGAGTAGGAGGAGGAGGAGGAGGAGGAGAAGAAGAAGGAGGAGGGGGACGAGGAGGAGGAGGAGGAGGAGGAGGAGGAGGAGGAGGAGGGGTCTAAGGGGCCTGCCGTAACAACCTCGCTGGCCTATGCCGCCCCGCTGTCGAATCCCAGCTGCAGGACGTCGGGGGGATGCGAAGCACCGAGCCACCAGCTGGAGGAAATCACAGCAACGCACCTCCGATCGGGCCCTCCAGAGCGAGTGAGGAGAGCAACCTGTCCACGAAGAGCACGTACAGTCGGGGCCCTGAAGAAGGAACCCTTTTCGTTGGGGAGGGGCTCTGTTTTCCTTGATTGTTCTGCAGTTTGCCTTCGGTTTTCCTGCGGTTTTCCATGGGGAATCGAAGTTCAACTTAGGGGAGAAAGGGGCCCCCCTTCCTTATTTAGGGTTCCTTAGGTCAACGCCCCGACTGTACCCCAAACCATCTTGGAGGACGAGGCGACCGTCAAGCTGCGCATAAATGGAGACCGTGGCGATTTCTGCACCGCCATGCCGTTGGGTGCGAGTGTAGTGACCAGCGGTTCATTCAGCAGTAGGCCACATCCTTGAAGTTGCGGATCCTGCCGAGACCTTGCCACCCGAAGCGGAATGTGTCCATGGAGGGAACAAGTACCCATAGCCCCAGCATGGCGGTAAATGTTCACATCGGGGCGACTGCATGTAGCGATGAGAGAACCAGCCCCCATGCAGGTGTAACTACGAGGCTCCCCATTCCGAACGTACTTCCACATGACAGTGGTGATTATTCCCAGTCTCGTATCGTCGAGGTGTCACGATCTCATCCCTGGGCAAGACGCCCGACACCCCAACTGTCCTGCGTGGGCTGTCATATGAGGTGTTCCCAATAGGGCCTTGCCTTCGAGGATCGAAGGAGTTGCCATCTCTTCCTCGGCGGAAGGTCGACGGAAGTAAAAGGAGGCTGCTTCCGCCGGAGGAAGCTGGCGGAAGGTTGGCGGAAGGCGGCGGAAGTGAAAGATGCACCCCCCAAATGAAAACGTTGTTTGGTTTCAGGGTTTCCGAAATACTGGAGTGCCCTAGTGCTTGTCAGGGACGTCAGGAAGGAACCGTAGAGCGCCGAGGAAGGAGGCGCGGGAGGGTGAGGACGGATCCGTGTGACGTCCCGTAAGTGTTTCGGCGGTTCACACCCTCTGGCTGGTCTGGGCCAGTCACGTTGGCACCTCCAGACA